TGAGGCAGATCTGTACTGAGCAGAAAATGTAACAGCAAACTGAACCTTAAGAGCTGCTTGCTCAAGAAAGGAGCACAAGATCAGCAAGGACATATGAATTAGGGAACATCAGGGAAGAAAATCCAACATGTGACAAAAACCATGCTGTCTGTATTTTCTAAGAAACATTGGGTTACTGTGCTTGTACATTGGCTAAGAAAACCTAGTCAAGACAAAGTTTAGAAATTTACTTGATCCTCTGTGCTTCTAATAAGTCATGCTTCCAACTGTTTAAAGATGCCCTATTCCAGTATTTAGCTGCAGGACAGTAATTTTATCAACTATGTCTTTTAACTACACAGTAAACAGGACCAGACAGGGACATGGTCTTCAATTTGACCAGGCTAATTTAAAATTTGTGAGCTCTATTCTCTAGAGAGGGAAAAAATTAAGTTTAGCCTTGATAGAGGCGGTTGCTAAGAGATCATTGTTTTAGAAGACCACATAGATGAAAAGCAAGCTGATATTAATAGTTGACAGTGATTACCAATACAATGTTGTGTTTGAACAGAAGTAGCATATTCTTCATATGTGAAACTTTGCCTTCAGACAGCTAGAATAGGGCACAGTTTTTAACTGTAAAGTCAGCATTTGAAGACTAATATTACCACTGAAATGCTTGCTATGTTGTCATGCCAATTCAGAGTCTTTTACCTAAACTGCAACTGCTCCAGCGTTTGTCTGCACCATGTTTTCCTCAGTACAGAATACTGAACTTAAGCGGCACTTGACGTTTCCTACTCTGGCTGCATAATGAAAGCAAGCTTTTTAGGGAGAGGTGGGAAGAGTGTTACTTTCTGCAAGTCACAGCCCTGAGATTTTTTTGACACTAGGAAAGACAATTCTACCACTGGTAATGTGACCCAGTGATAAGACACCAAGTTTTCACAGAAAAGCCTGAAGTAGACAGCCTTAGCTAGAAAAAGAGTCTATATTGTATGTTCATCGTATAAAGATATGTCTGCACCACAGAGTCTACGCCAGTTTATCTATGCTGACTGAAGGGGTTTTTCCCAGTTGGTGTAAAACCACCATCCTTGAGCAAAAGTAGTTAGGCCAGTGGAGGCATTCTTATCTGGGTCTACCCTGGAGGTTACATCAGCATAGCTCTATCAGCCAGAGGTATATTCACCCCCAACCCAATCATGACCAGCATAGCTATGTTGACTTCAAAATTAAGCGTAGACTAGTCCTGTTTTCTCTAGGTTTGTCTACAAAAACAGCACCATTTTAAACAAAATGGATTCCAAAATGAAATAACTTAACTGGTGCACATTTTGTATAGAGTAGCCTATAGTCAGAAAGCCCAAAGTTTTTTGGCATCCTGCTACACAGCAATCCACCACCATTCTAGAGGATCAGTAGTTTCTTCATGCACTTTAGTAGTATGGTGGCATCCTTTGCCCTATTCCTTAATCTTTAGTTTTAGACCAGGCTTTGTAGACCTACATCAAAATAATTTGGGTCTGTCACAACTGCCTCTAACAGCAGTGAAGTAGGCAGTTGTGTACACCCTACATAACGGCATTTTATACCAGTCCAAAGGTAAGACACTAAAGTTTCACAGCATGACATTACGAACACTTGCAAATATTCTGCAGCAACTGTTAATTTTCTAGGAAGAGCCATTCTCCTCTTCCCTAGGAGAGAGATAGAGTCTAATACAAGTTAGCTTTCAATTTCTATCTATAAAATTTCACACAACAATGGGCTCTCCCCAAAGACAAGTTTTGCCCATAAATTTGTTCCTGACAGGTAAGTCACATAAACTGCCCACACAGAAGATGTAATCTTACAGCATGAAACTCTTAATAGAACCTGCTACTGAAGTTCAGAGTCCAAAGGCAATCTTGTCCTTGGACATTGAGTGTGGTCCAAAAGCAAATAGGCATTAAGCTAGAAGCCACTTTGACTTAACAACAACAACAAAAAAGAAAACTACACACCACACAAACAGCTATGGAGAAGCTAGTTAGATTTTTATTTCAGAGCTGTTCCAGTGTGACCAATTACATTAGAGTTTGAGTGTTTTAAGCCATGCTTCACAATATCTAGTGTTCTGCCTTAAACATCTTTGTAGAGTAGTACTCTACAAAGAACAATTTGTTATACTGTACTTTAAGAGTCTGAGAAGTGTTTCTTGACCTTACTAAATTGATTACAATTTCTGAAGATCTTCATATATTAGATTCTGCAGTTGCAGTAGATTACTTGTTGACAAAGTCAAAGACTGTTGTATGGCTTTATAGCTTAACCCAATCTTGTACCTTTCTGCAATAGAAGTCTGGAATCGCATTAGAATATAACAGCACATGTAGTTTGGGATTACATTTTAAGTGCCTAAGCATTTTACTTTCTTACACTTGGAAAACAAGATACTTCATATTCTGAACTTGATCCATCAAATGGAGACAAAGTATTAGTTTGTGGATAACAAGTCATGTGTTTTGTCAGCTGCTGAAGTCACAAGGAAAAGACAGAATATGCGTTCTTTCTGACTATGAGGGCATGGCATAGAACTACTGATTTAAACAGTGAATACATACTCGTCTATTTAACCAAACTTCACTCCAACAGATTATTATAAACAAGACTTAGTACACTCCAGACAGCCATGCTTATTAAGTGCAGAGGCCAAGCTGAGATGTAAAGCATTTATCAAATACTAGCTGTCTTGGCTGTAAACAAGAGTTCTAAGTTAGTTATTTAAAGCCATAACCTGACAAATGAATTCAGATACTCTAGTAGAGTGGGCTGGATTATGTACATATTTTTATTATCCCATCTATGTTTATCAGGTGCAAGATGTTGACTTGCAATTTGCATAGCACAGAAGAGGTGGGTAGTGTCTGGTAACAGTTCACTACTAAACATGTTATTGCAGTAGCATTGCTAGTGACAAAAACTATTTTAGTCTTTAAGTCTTTAGCCCTTATAATTCTTGTACAAAAGTAAATGTCCTTAGTGTTTGGGAGAAGTTTATGCCACCCTGTGTTTTCAGTTTATGTGTTTGCACACAGTCCCTTATATGTTATAGCAGCTTAGTTCTACCAGGAAGAGTTTTTGAAAAATTATGCAAGGGAAAAAAGTTAAAACAAAGGTCAGCATGTTTATGTCTTACCAAGACTCTTTAAGACTTAAAGACTTTTAGAATACATACATACACACACACACCCCCAACTAACTAGCCTGGAGCTAAAAAGCTTGTAACAAAAGTAAGTATGATCAGAACTTGTTTTAAAGATACAGGTAAACCAATACATTATCTATACTAGTAGTTAAATATGAATATCAAGTACTTAAGTCCCTCATTAACTTAGCTTCTATACATTTGAAAAAGTTAAATATTGCTATCATGCTTAATTTACCCCATAAGATACTATCACAGCCTACAGCACTCTAGCATCTAGTTTAATTCTTTCCATCATTGACTCAGTACTTACACATGCAAAGAAGTTACTTGCACAATAACTGCCAGTCTTTTCAGCTGCCTGTGTTGTCCTGTTATTAATTTATTAAGGGCAGTCTGCTAGTAAGATAATTATGTCCACTGATTACATGGAGTAAGATTTCAAGCAAATGATTATAGTATTTCTTTCTGAAGAACACTTAGGGATATTCCTAGCCTCTAGCTGCCCCCCTCCTTTATCCAGAGTCTTTGCAGGAATCTGAGCACAAAATATGGTAGCTATGGGTGACAAAAAAAAAGAAAAGAAAAAAAGAAACTCATTCCTATCATAAATGTCATCCTCAATCCTACTTCAGCTTTTACTGATTTTCATGTAGACCACAATGCACCTGAACAATACAGACAGCTAGAAAGGCTGAAGGGATAGCCTCTTCCCCAAAAAAGAACTAAATTTAGCTACAGCATCCACATTGATCACAGGTGGTTTACATTCAAAACAATCAGTTCTCTTATTAATGATTCTGAAGCATTAAGAAAGCTTCATTGTTACACAGGAGGGCTGAGAGAAAAAGAAATCCCTAAGCCTGTCTCAGTCCTTATACACTCCACCTCTGTCAGCCCCACAACGCCTAGCTCAATGAGCTCTCAATCATGCAAATCCCACTATTAGGGAAGAGTCCCTTTCTCTAGCACAGCACGACACACAAAGGAACACGCTTCCGGGTCCATCAACTCCCCCCTTAGTGCCTGCAGCTGGGAAGAGAAGGCCCCCTCACAGGCCCGCTCCCCCTCCTAACCCAACAAGGGAGGAGCCCCGCTGCCGCCTCCTCCCAGAGCCCCTCCTCTCGCTTTAGTCCTAGATATCGGGACCTACTGCCTCCCGCTCCTCAGAGAGGGTAGGGTGGAGCCGTCTGCCTTCCCCCAGCCTCAGAAGACTTGTGTGCGTGTGTGTGTGTGGGGGGGAGCAGCTGCCCCCCCCGCACTCCGATTCGAGAGAGCGAGCTCCGCTACCTCCTTCGCTCGCAGCGCCGGGCCTACGTTCCCGGCCCGAGCGAAACACTACACGCAACACAAACCCCGGCGACAGCCCGCTACCTCTGCCCAGCCACAGCCGCCCCGCCGGGGAGCCTCCCCCCGTGGACCGCCCCCAAGAGGAGAACCCCCCCCATCCCGCCTCCATCCCCCCCACAAAGCCCCAAGGGGGGAGAGAGGAAGCAGAGAGTAGGCCACGGCCCTAGGCCCACCTCCCTCCCCGGAAAGAAGAGAGGCCCACGGCGCCGACCCCGCCAGCTCGGCCACTCACCGCGCTCAGTATCCCCACGACACCTGCTCCAAGCCTCGCTACCTCCTCTGCTCCCTTCGGCTCCGCTTTAATGGGGCCAAACAGCCTCCCCGCTTTCACTTCCGCCTCTCCCTCGCCAGCTTCCGGTCACGGGACCATCCGGCGCTGCGACGTCAGCACGCACGGGATAGGCCGTGGGGCAGTCTCCAGCTGGACCCGCGTCACATGTACAAGCACGCTCGCCTTGGCGTCACCTGGGTGGCCATCTTGGATTCCAGGCCCTGGTGTGGATCGTCCGAGTCAGCCCCGCCCTCGCCCCGTTGCTGTGTCACGTGCACATCCTGGGGCCTGGGCCCTCGGCGTGAGGCACGTGCATTCCGACGGTGGCGTGGAGCAGCCCGCCCGAGGGGCATGGTCCCGGCCCAGTGGCCCGCACGGCTCAGCCCGCTGTGGGCAGCCCCGCACGGCACAGGGTTCCTCCCCCCTTTTGGGCCGGCAGTGGATTTGGCCCTCCTGGAAGAGCAGAAAGTGCAGCTTTTGCAAGGGCCTGGGGGAAATTGAGGGCTCGGCTACAGGGGTGTAGTCACACCACCATAGCTATAGTGGTATCCCTGCCCACGTGGATGTACCCCGAAATGTGTCTGTCCGGGGGGAGTTGCACGGCATAACTTGGGGGGGTACCAGCACGCTGGTGAATTTCCCCATGTAGCCACACTTTTAGTCATTATGGTTAAGGGCTAACTAGAAATACCATGTTAGGATGACCAGATATCCTGATTTTATAGGGACAGTCTCGATGTTTGGGTCTTTTTCTTATATAGGTTCCTATTACCCACCACCCCAATCCTGATTTTTTCACACTGGCTGTCTGGTCACCCTACCATGGATAGATGAGTGACCAGGCAGATAAGTGGGATAGAAAAGATGGATAAGGACAGATATGATGGATTAAATAGATAAATCCACACCAGTGTTAATTAATTTGATCACTTGCTTTTCATTACATCCCATCTCTCATAATTTGTATGTAGTTCTCTATATAGGTTCAACGTGGCCCCTCCTTTTTCCTGCTATACAAGATAGTTCATTCTCTCCATTGTATCAGTGCAAATAAGAGTAAATTTATCAATACAATCCTTTTTATGTAAACCAGACAATGTGCTATTTTTTTCTTGGATGAACGCATGTGTGATGAAATGCACCCCTGTATTCATACCCTGCACACTAATCTTTGTACAAAATATGCCTTGTAAAGTATCATTTGAAAACCGATAACTTGCTGGTCAATAATATGGCAAAATGTATGTAACAACATTATATGTAAAATTATGAACATAAGATGAAATTGCAACTGAAGTGTGTTTACCAGACAAGTCTGGGAAGTAGGTAAACCTGTTTCTCAAAGACAAAGGACAAGTTTGTCTAGTCAGGTGTCATCAAAGCTTATGGGCAGTCACCTATCAAGTGGCCATTCTTTGGCATTGAAGGGGGGTAAGGCAAGAGACAAACAGATCTGCAGCTTAGCAAACAGAGGTGAACAGCAACAGCATAACATCTCTTCTCCCACCAGACTCCATATCTCCTTATTCTCAGCTGAAAAGAATTCTATCTAGGGGGTCACTCTCAGGAAAATGCATTTCAAAGGGTGACTGAACTATAAAAGTGAGGGGCAAAAAAACCCCAAGTTATCTCTCCCTTTCCATTTCTCTTTTTGCAACTAAGACGACAAAAGAAACAGCCGTTGGACCTTGGGAGTAGATCCAGACCTAAAATTTGGTCATGAATGCTACTGAAAACCTTGTGGTAAGAATTCCACCCTGACCCAAGTCTAGTTTGTTAAGTTCAGTAATAGGAAGTATTTTATCTTTATTTTTCTTTTAACCATTTCTGACAACAAAGCCTCATTACTTGTACTCCCTTAAAAGCTTTTCTTGTTTTGTTAAATACACTTATTTTATTCTTTAATCAAAACAATCCCAGTGTTGTGAACGGTGTGGGTAAGTTCATTTAAAAGGAGCAAGTTGTATCTTGATCCCTGTAGAGGGGCAAGAGACAGAATATATATCATCTGTCCATCACAGGTCTGGACAGTACAGAACATATGTTTTTTGGGAAAAATCCAGGACTGGGTGTGTGTTGGGGTTATCCTGCAGGTGGTAACCAAGACTGGTGGAAGCCAGAGTGTGACTGACACGTGTTGACAGGCTGCAGCTATAGACAGACACTCAGGGTGTTACCTGCCTGCTGGCAGGCTGTTTATGAGCTATCCAGGTGGGATCTACAGCAGTAAAGCATTGTGAGGCACCGCAGGTTGCAGGGGAGATGGTGATAGCCCCTCACTGGTCTGGATTCATCCTGGAATGTCATAGCATATTAGAACATATTCAACGTTTTAATAGAAGAATCAGCAGAAAAGTCCATCTATATCTAATCTTATTTCGATTTAATGGACCCAGTCCCTGTTGTATCTTGAATTCCAACTCATGACATGGTATTGGACCTTCAATTGGTGCTTTTGGCTGTAAATCTCTCAAATTCTCAATGGTGCCTACATTTATAATGCACTTTTCATCTTAATATTCACTTTACCAATATTAAATAATTATTGTTGGTATAAATTGTTTATGAACTTTAAAATAGATCTCTACAAAAAACTACAACTAGATATTCAGGCAATGCTAGATAGCATGAAGCTACAGTTTAGGGGCATTCCACAGTTAAGATCTGGCCCCAAACAGGGAGTGCACATTAAGGGTCCAATTCTGGACCCTACTTCTATAACGGAGTCTGAATGTTCAAAGTTCAGAGGATTACAAAGATGCTGGCCTACAGTTAGCCCATGTCTGGGCACATGCTACATATTTTATCAAAAGACTGGACTAATTCTGTTCATTTTCATTTTTTCCCCTCCAGAGCACATTAATCCACCCCCTTCAGATGGCTGCAATCCTTTGCTCCAGTACATCACTGAATAGCTCCTCAAGAACTTCCCTGGGTGTTTAGCCTGACCTACCGAGAAGGAAGAGACAGACTTGTGGATTGTGAATGTTGGGAATATTAAGCACCAGCTATGAAAAGATTTAAGCGTTCTCAATGAAACCTCACTCCCCTCCTCCAAATCCCTCCTTAAGACTCACTTCTCTTGACTAGCTTTCCAATGTTAATCTCAATTCCACCACCTCTACCCTCTGACTGACTTCCTCAAACTAACATTATATTTTAAACTTTAAAAAGGAAAGCAACAAGATGTGAACACAAGATCTCTTACTTTTGTAACTCTGGAGTAGTCTAGTTTTCTCCCGACTCAATCCTTTATTTGTCATCCTTTGATTCATTTTGGCTAATCGAAGCTGTGACCTCACTAGCATATTTCTTAAAAATCTTCCATTGTTGCATTACCACTTATGCAATTCCACTGGTGGAAGCTACTGTAGGTTGATCACCTGCCTTTTCACCACCGTATTGTCTAACCCCTGTTTGCAGTATGAATGCTGAGCTAGTGATCAGCACTAGTGCTTTCACTGTGGCTACCATCGATGGATCTACACTGGTACTACAACAATGGCAGATTTAAGTGAAAAGCCTGTGTACACAAGGCTTTAGGGTCTGGGCTAGTGTGGTTTTGAGTACTTATTGCAAGGTGTACAATGCCTTCAATTCCAATTGACTTTTATAGCAGTGAGAGTTCTGAGTACCTCATAGGGGTTGCTTACAACCTGTACACCTCAGTTCCTGTCTTCTCGATTTGTCTGAAAAAGTCATGACCATCTATCCTGCTGTACAGATACTAATAACAACAGCATATCCTCCCTTCTGGTCTCAGTTTGATGCTTATTACATTTCTCATTGTGGTCTTTATTGCTTGTGTCATATGTTCTGTTAATACACTTATCCTTTATTCATGGAAGCGCTCTGGACTTGTTCACAGGTATCTGACCACTTGTCATAAGCATATACTCTCCTTAAATCCCTCTCTCACTCAATATTTTTTCATTCTAACCCTTAATGTTTCCCTATCAGAAATGAATTACTGCTGGGTGATGGTTACTCTGGAGAGTATCTACTCCAAAGGGTTGAAAATTTGGCGCATCAGACATTCTCAGTTTAGTTTCTTCTTTTAGGAAATGTCCTAACAGTAAGAACTTAAAGAAGTGAGTTTTGGGGATATTGAATTGTTCTCCAATGGCATTACATTGACAAAGTTTGAATCCTAAGATCTTTCCACTGTCTAAAAAAAATTTCCCTGGAAAATTTGAGAAAATTGTATTATATTCTTAATAATGACTAGTGCTTGAGCACTTGACACCAAATACTGACAGCAGTTCTTATTCATGTTTCTATTAATGTAGAGGGAGTGTGATAGAGTGAGGAAGGGTTTATTAGCTGATAGAAAAGTATACTCTTTCCCCTTTCTAAAGGGAGCTGCTGGCTGCTCAGTGTATCAAAAGCAGGCCACTTATTCAGGAGCCTAAATATGGACTTAGAAACCTAAATTTGGCTCCTCCTTTTGAAGCTCTTGCTTGTCAACTCTAAATTTCTCTGAGCAAACCAAATACCCAAACATTTATACTTACCTGACATCCATCTCAGTGGCATTTACACAGAAGAGTCACCACTGACTGGAATAACTGATTTTAAGGAGTCTGTGTAGTATCTAAAAGAGAGCATTTAACATATAGGAGTCTGTCATCAGCATATAGTGAAATTATGAGGTTTAGATTTCCCAGTGCAACAGGTTCTGTGATGATTTCCTGTTTTACACTCTCGTGTGCCACAGGTTTTAGTAATACAGCAAATTAGGGTGAAAGAATTACACCCTTCCTTTACACCTCATGCTGAATATTAGACAATTAATCTTTACAAGTGCCTAGGAGCTACTTTACAAATGGGAAAACAGAGACACAGAGAGGTGAAGTAACTTGCCTGAGGTCACACATTGAGTCAGTGGCAAAGTCAGAATTAGAACCTTGGAGTTCCTAGGCCACATCTATCTAAATATAGACACTATGAAAAACTGTATATAAATACAGGAAGTCATCCAGATAAGTACACAGGGAGGTATTTGATATGGTGTATTTGTAGAGATTATTACAAAATGTGTATGCAATAAACATGTAAGTAGGTGATGCTTTTATAAACATAGTAAAGGGCATTCTTTTTAAGTAAAGTGTTTGCTATTGCAGCAGGTAACCTATGTAGTAGATTCTGCCTGTTACTATTATATAGCACTGTAAGCAGACATGATCTTTACAAGGTAGGAGTGTACATATTTGTTCAAATTCTACATGATGGGGGCCAGATAAGTAGATAGATAAGACAGAGATAATGTGCCAAATCCTTGCCCCAAAGAACTTACAGTCCAACAGTTCAAATGGGTACAAGACAATCCAAGGTACTATGGTCAGATAGTACATACTGGAAAACAGAAAAGCATGTGGCCATTGTAAATGGAATGCTTTGTGTGATGGGTGGATTGTGTCATGTTGCTATTGCACCCAAAGTGTTTTGTGTGACAGGTGGAATAGTCGCATCACCACTCTGAACTGGAATGTTTCCTGAACCAGGTGGATTGTGTCATGTTGCTATTGTACCCAGAATGCTTCATGTGACAGGTGCATTGTGCTATGTGACCACTGTAAATTGAATCTTTCATGGGACAGGTGGACTCTGTCATGTTGCTATTCCTGAATAATAGTATTGATTTTGTCATGTGAGATCACAGTCTCAGTGTTGAAAGGCATCCTTTCAGAGACTACTAGCTGAAAAAAAGTGCCTTGGAGATTCTCAGAGGTGGACTATATGGGCATATGATACCAACTGTCAACAAGGACTAATAGTCACACTTTTCAAGATCTGTTGGTCCCAGTTTTTAAATCTGTACACTTAGGAACAAACTCTGTCCTTAGATTTCAGAGTAGCAGCCGTGTTAGTCTGTATCCGCAAAAAGAAGAACAGGAGTACTTGTGGCACCTTAGAGACTAACAAATTTATTAGAGCATAAGCTTTCGTGGACTACAGCCCACTTCTGCGGATGCATATAGAATGGAACAGATACATATAGAATCTGTCCTTAGATACACACATGCAATTCCTGTTGAAGTCAGTGGGAATTGCTAGCCTATCTGAAGGCACAATTTAACCTCCCGTACTCAAAGTACCTTTCCGACAGGTTCAGCAAGGAGAGAGAGAGGCTGCAATTACATGCCATTTGGCCATGCGTACGTGCCCAATACCTATCTGCCATTGCTATACTCCAATGTTTCTCAACCTTCTGAGGTTGTTGACCACTTATACAAAGTCAAAAATGTTCATAACCCCCTACATTTGTTATAAAAGTAAGAGCAAATAAGGTGTCAGTGATAATAATGATAAGCTTGTGTCATTTATTTGTGTGTTTCGAAAGGTTGAAAGAGATTACTTAGTCTTAAAGGGAACTCAATATTGAAGGTAACTCAAGAGTGTGTGGGGACTGCGGGGGTGGGGGTGAGATTTTCTTTGCTTTAGTTTGTAATACATTTTTCAGTGCCTTATTCCTCCCTGATTGCTTTTTTATCCCCCCTTGAGGTCATGACCCACTGCTTCAGAAACAGTGATCTACCAAGTTGAAGTGATGCTCTTTGAAAAGCTGCTGACTTATTAAAAATATCTGTTAAAGGTGATCTGTAAAGCTTCAGTTACTACATGTCAAAACTGTAGTTTATGGTTCCAAATTGCTGACAAAATCAATGTGTACATTGAAAATTATACTTCTTTGTTCTCGTTTGTTTGGGTGGAGAGATATTCGCTAGGACAGTGGTTCCCAAACTTGTTCCGCCGCTTGTTCAGGGAAAGCCCCTGGCGGGACGGGCCGGTTTGTGTACCTGCCACGTCCGCAGGTTCGGCCAATCGTGGCTCCCAGTGGCTGCGGTTCGCTGCGCCGGGCCAATGGGAGCTGCTGGAAGCAGTGCGGGCCGAGCCACTAGGATTTTCTCCTTGTTTTCCTTGTCTTTCCTGCAGTCAATCCAAGAGCAATTAGGCTCTGAAAAGTGCCACACCAAGCCCACATCAGCCCAAAAGGACAGACGTAGGGGCTCAGAATGCAGAATGTGGGGAACATGCCACATGGGAGCATCTGCTCTGGAGTCCTGCCTTCTGTCACATTGTTGCAAACAACAGGGTTATCATAGAATATCAGAGTTGGAAGGGACCTCAAGAGGTCATCTAGTCCAACCCCCTGCTCAAAGCAGGACATCCTAACAGCTCTTCTGCTACCTTGGATCAGTCCATTGAACAATACCAAATGCTTCAGAAAAGGACAACACAAACTTCACAAAATACATCCGTCATCAATTTGGCAGGGTATAGGTGAGTTGTCCATGATGATCTCCACACCTGCAAAGAAAAAAAAAAAAAAAAAAAATTTTTCTGGCACTCAGTTTTGATTTTCACAGCCGATCAACAGTTTCTGTAATCAGGAAATGGTATCCGACACCCTGCCAGTGCCAGACAACACTGAAGGGTGGCTTGTGTACACAGAGAGTTAATGCTCTCCTGTTTGATAGTCTCTATGGAATTCTTATCAGACATTTGACATGACACAGCCAAATCTCCCCCAGGAGAGGGGTTATTGCAGCTCATGAAGGACAAACATATTGATAGGACCATGAAAAGGTCTTCCTGGCAAATAGCCAGGCTCGGTCCAGAGGTTTTAATTGTATACCTTCATAGGAACTAGGTCTCCCTTTCCTAGCGAAAAATAATTTGAATGGTACCATCTAATCAAATCCACTATTTGTTGCTTCCAAATAACAAACAACACACTACTTAATAATCTGGCATGAATTTCACATTATCTCAGTCAGACTGAAAACAGTACAGCCACAATTTTCCTTAATGAGACCCAAAGCAAGTCAATAATTGTAAGCCAGTTAACTACACCCTGTAAAGAAACCCACCAGTTTCCATGCAAGCCAGAGTAGGTTTTGCAAGCTTGAGCATCCCTTACAACATTCTGGTTAGGCACAGTCCTTGCCAACAACTATAGCCTACTGTAATGCATTAACAGCACAGGTTCACCACACTCCTTATATCAGGGGTTCTCAAACTGGGGGTTGGGACCCCTCAGGGGGTCATGAGGTTATTACATCAGGGGTCACGAGCTGTCAGCCCCCACCCCAAAACCCACTTTGCCTCCAGTATTTATAATGGTGTTAAATATATTAAAAAGTGTTTTTAATTTATAAGGGGGGGTCGT